ACAGGTTGAGTTGTGATGAAGTTCCTCACAAGTAGTGAGTGAAGTGTGCTGTCATGTGACTTAAGCAGGACATCACTGCATCATAACAGAAGGAGCTGCTAGTGTATATCTCTTGACAAAATTGGTTTGGATTGATGAGACCATGTTGGAAATTACCTCATCAGTAAATATGTCAAGGAGATATATTAGGAACAAGTACAAAGTGTATTGAGATTCATAAAAGGATCTTGGAGACCTTTTAGGAAACTTTAATATATGTGTTCCTACTGTTAGTCTGCAGAAGATTGGGAGAAGCCATGTCTGTCATGAAGAAGATTCTGCAGAAGTGTGCAGCAGAGCAAGCTGATCAGCTAAGAGTAAGTGAAAGCTGAATGTCATACTGAATGTCATGACATTGATCGTATGACATCAGACGGGCATAGTTTGTTTTTCTGTTATGATACCTGATATATCTCAGGTTAAAATTCAGGAAACCTGTTATGACTTCTTAGTTATTTCAGACGAGATTCTAGGCAGTATCATGACCTAATTTGACAGCACCTTGATCAGTGGAAATTAGGTTTACTTTGTTAAACCTAATGTTTGTTACTTTGGAGCAGCCCAAACCCAGTCTGCACTACTATAAAAGGAGGAGCAAAAGCGGAGGAAAGCAAGCACTCACATCAAGAAAAACCAGAGTGTAAAATAAAGGTCTAGGGTTTGAGAGTCCCTTGTGTGTAAGTCACCCTTTGTATCTTTTGATACATTGTGGTAGACATATTTGTAAGTGAAGAAGGCTAGTCTTCATGTGTGAATTCTGTTTAGGAATACTTGTACTCCAAGCAATTGTCTCGTGGATGATTTTCATTGGATAGGTAGATTCTAGGCTGTGTCTCACTCAAAGCTGTGAAGCAAGAGTGTGTGAGTTCCTTGATCATAGCTGTGAGCAAGATCAAGGTGTGTATGAAGTGTCTCTTCATACTATTTTTGTAATTGTGAATTATAAATCACTGTTGTGTGATTAAGAGGGAGTGAGTGGGTATACTCAGGTACTAGAGTCTCTCTAGGCTGAAATTGCATTGGGTAGAGATTAAGTGAGGAGTGTAAACTGGAGGTTTAACTCTAAATTAATTCTGCTAATAGTGGATTTTCTTCCTGGCTTGGTAGCCCCCAGATGTAGGTGATGTTGCACTGAACTAGGTAAACAATTACTGTGTTATTTATCTTTTTGCATTTACAATTCTGCATAATTTAAGTAGTTAGATAAATAGGTCTGTCAGCCTGCAGATGTCACAACAGACGTCATGACGTTGGTCATGACATTGGGACAATTTAAAGAAATTTAAATTGGTCATGGTCTGTCCTCATCCTTGTTGAGCAGATATCAATGTTCTTGGGACATATGTGATCTGCATACCAGAATTTCAACAAGGGAACCCTCGAGACGGTCTTCGACATTGGCGTAAACGTCAGACTCATCCACAAATAAGCAAGAGCAGATGCTCAAAGGCTCCTTACTGGCCCAGTCTGCGGCAGATCTCTTGCGCTCTTTGCCGGCCTACGCCATCGAGAGTCCGGCTCGTCGTTGCTTTCAATAATTTCTTGGGCCCAAGCAGCCATTTACACCTGAAAAGCAGAGGAACTCGGTGAATTCGACATTCAAAATCAAATCCACCCTTCCACCACAGATCATGTGAAATGGCGAAGAGGGGAGACCCTACGGGTAGAGCCTCTCCTGCCTCGATAGACGAGAGCGGACCCCCGAGACTTCGAGCACTTGTCCCCGGGAAGTCATACGAAACTATCCAACGTCCTAAGTGGGACCTCACTACCTGTCCCTGGGAACTTCAGGAAAACTATCATACCTCCCCGGGGGCTTCCTCGTTTGTCCCCGCGAGATTCGTCCAAACTATCATACCTCCATGGGGGTTTTCTCGTTTGTCCCCGTGAGATTCGTCCAAACTGTCATACCCCCCGGAGGCTTCCTCGTTTGTCCCCACGAGATTCGTCCAAACTATCATACCTCCCCGGGGACTTCATCATTTGTCCCTAGTGGATTCACCAAAAACTATCCTACGTGCCCAGGGAACTCATTGTTTATCCCCTGAGAATTCATCCAAAACTAGCCTATGTGCCCGAGGGCTTCACCGCTTGTCCCCGGGAAAGATTCATCCTAACCCTACTTTTGTTTAAGGGAGCCCCGACGTATTCGCTGGAAACTCCACGGTCTCCTCGAGACATTCATCAAGTTCATCATGGGATCGTCAAAAAATAAGAAAAACAGGACAAAAAGCATTCAAGACTTACTTGATACAGTGGTTCTGGGTAGGTGACGCAGCGGACAGTGCGGCGGCGGAAGGTGGACGTCGCGGTGCAAAATGTGAAAAAGAAACAAGAAGGGGAACGACGTCGTGAGCAGTAAGGGTGAAGAGTGAGAAATTGAGCATACTAGATCCTATTTATAAGCCTAGCACGGGACTCGAGGCACTCCTAGGTGCTCAAGCACCCCTACCCCTAGCCGCCCTAGCTAAGCAATGGCTGCCAGACACATGACAACACCAGAAGCTCTGCAATCCATCCGTCTCCCCGTCCTGCTCCCCGACATGCCTTCGCTCTCGACATAGTAAACGACTCCCAATTCCATGTCCGCCTTTAAGCAATTACCCATCCACCACAGAGTAACGACTTGGGGGGGCTCCTGTTCTGGACTGGGCCGAGACCTGCCCTTCAGCCGGGCAGGCCCAACCCAAGGCTATGCCAATGAGGCCCAACAAGACCCAATTTCCTATGTCGAGCACAAGCCTCAACAAGGCACATCCGTCGGGCAGAAGACTCTCTTAACAAGGAAGCCCACACACTTCCCCCATGTTCTCTACGTGCTCCCCACGTGGGGACACGTCATCAGACAACTACCCACTTCCGAAAGAGATGGTCAACCCACCTTCCAAAGATCATGGGGCAGTTGATCCAGGGCAAAGACCACGTGCTGGTCTTCACTATGCCACGTAAGTCCTGACAGTTACTTGTGTTGGGCTTGACAATCCGACCCAATGCAATGTAACCGTTGGTCTTGCGCTGGGGGCATATTATAAATACTCTCTTTCACCAGAGGATTAGGTATTATATTCATCACACCTTCTCTCTGTACTTGTTCTCTCTAGTTTCAGTACTTACTTAAGCATCTGAACATCTTGCAGGTACACCCCTTTTTCTTCTCCACAACATCGGTGAAGGCAGCAACTCACGACACGTGGCAGGCTACTGATTCCTTTCTGATCAGGTAAGATCATTTAGTAAACCTACAAATTTAATAAAATAGTACAAAAAAATACTAGAAATTAATACATTTTCATCACAGAAGAATTACACCACTTGCAACCTTCATTACAGATGTTATTTTACCCAATGCTATAATGTCTCCAAAAAGAACGACTCTAAATGGAATTGTCATCTTTGTTTCCATAACTATTACATAAGGGACAATATACAGTTAAAATTTTGAGTAACACACGAATGATTCCCTTAGTAATTTAGTCACACGTACAATTTAAGTTTAACGTTTCAAATACTTTCCGCGGTACCAAATATTTGTTATTTGTAATTATTTGATTTTTTTATATTGAAAAAATATTTAAATTAAAAATATACTTAATATAATTTTTAAATTAAATTTGTATAAAATATTTTAAAATCATTATTGTTCTGTAAATAGTTATCATTTTTAATAGAATACTTATGAAGAAGCTAAATAAAAAAAATGTAGAAAATAAATAAATAAATAATAATAATGAAATATTGATTAGTATAAATAGAAGAGATAGAATGTGGTTTTATTTTTCATTTTAATTGTTGAATAGAAAATAACAAGTAAGAAATAATAATTCGCTTTAAAAATACAAAAAAAAAATCTAAATTAAAGTTTATTAATATTTGAAATAAAAATGAACTAATCTATTATTCAATTTATATTTTTTTATAAAAAAATAAATTTAATTGTTAGATAATGTATGCTTTTTATTTTAAATAATTTTAATATTTTATTAATAATTAGATATTAAAAAAAGTTAAGAAACCCAATAAACTCTTAAACTGCCGCATCATTATTTTTAATCCACAATTCTTTTTTAATGAAATAGATTTAACCACAACATCTTCATCATCAATTATTCGTTCATCAATTTTATCTATAAAAACATTTTACAAACAATTTTCTTCAACAATTTTCTTCATAAGTTAGTTTTGTTATTTTATATCTATCAACAATGTAAACGAAGAAATAAAAACACCTGAATAAATAGAAAAATAAAACAAAAGAATACATGTAAGTACAAACAAATGAAACAATTAAGTTAAAAAAGAATCTTAAAATTTAAGTATAGATAACTCTCACTCTTCTTTTTTTTTATTTTTAAATTCTGTTATTTTTTTTTATTATATTGTAAAAAATGATATATTTCTTTTTATTTCAAAAAAAATATTATAATATATAAGTAGAGAAAATAACTGTATATATATTTTTTTAAATTACCAAAAAAAAGAGTAGTTTTTTTATACACTTTTTATGTATATTAAAATTATTTGTAATATATTAGTATACATAATTATAGCATATGATTATTAGACTAAATATTTATAGGTGTATAAATATATACAATGTTATCGCTTAGTTTTGATCTTATGATATATTCAATCAATTCTATTTATTTAAAAGTCAACAAATTACTCTTTTCAATAAAAATTTTGAAAAAAAATGTCCTATCAATAATTTGTAAAAGGACCACATCTTTTTTATATAAACTTTTTCTACACTTAGTCAAAAAATAATAATTATTTGTACAATTTTTCTTTTAATAACTAAAATGTAACATAGTTTATAGTAATAAGTAATGGAATTTGTAATAGATATTTGGAAAGGAAAGTTCGATTCTTAAATAGTGACCTCTTATCTCCACAACCCACAAACACAATTTTTTCCATTGTTCTTGTGTTCTCTTCTTCTCTCCCACAAGAACTCATCCAAAATGGTTATCTCATCAACAGTCAAACATCCAGATGAACATAGTGAGAGCATAGACTGTACTTTTGCGTCTAGATACGTGCGTGAACCAGTTCCAAAGTAAGTCACAAACTTGATAAGTTCTTTGTTGGTAGTAATTGAAACGAGGTTTGAATTTCTCTGTTTGTTGTTGGTAACAGGTTCAAGCTGTCAGAGAGTTCTATACCAAAAGATGCAGCATATCAGATAATAAACGATGAGTTGATGTTAGATGGAAAGCCAAGGCTTAACTTGGCTTCCTTTGTCACTACTTGGATGGAACCTGAGTGTGATAAGCTTATCATGGATTCTCTTAACAAGAACTATGTTGACATGGATGAGTATCCTGTCACCACTGAGCTTCAGGTCTGTTTAGCTTTAACATGATGATATAGTTTTTTCAGCAAGATTCTGAACTGTCGGCGTGATCTTTGATATTGCAGAGAATTGTAGTCAAATAACACTAAAACTATAAGTTGCAGTACGGTGTTGCAGATGTACGGACCTTTAGATTCAGATAGGAAAAGTTTTTTCTCTTTCTGAATCGTAGGTTCTCTGCAACTCCGTACTGCAGCGGTTGTAGAGATCCAATTTCAAACTATAAGGGTGAAGTCCAAATTGCGGTTAAGTCTTGATTTTGAGTAATTGGGTGTTTTTATATGATCATAAAGTTTTGAGCTTTGAAGATTTGTTTGGTTAAACTAGATAAATAAGTAAACTATTTGTAGTGTGTTTAGTTTTGGGCTTTGATCGTTTGAATACGTGAGATCTGACTTATTCACCTTTAGGAGAGAATTTGAATATTTCTATATTGTATGATGAATTTTTTCAGAAATTGGAAATGATAAAGTGATTTGATTCGATTGTTGAATTCTGCAGAACCGGTGTGTGAATATAATAGCACATCTATTCAATGCTCCTATTGGTAAAGAGGAATCAGCAGTAGGTGTTGGAACTGTAGGATCATCAGAAGCAATAATGTTAGCTGGTTTAGCTTTTAAAAGGAAATGGCAGACAAAGAGAAAATCAGAAGGCAAACCTTACGATAAGCCCAACATCGTTACCGGGGCTAATGTGCAGGTTGACAACTTATGACATGCCTATAAGCGCTTATATGATAAGTGTTTATGTTTAATGTTGTTTAAATATGCTACACAGGTTTGTTGGGAAAAATTTGCTAGGTACTTTGAGGTTGAACTAAAGGAAGTGAAACTCTCAGAGGGATACTATGTGATGGATCCATTGAAAGCAGTTGAAATGGTAGATGAGAACACTATCTGTGTTGCAGCCATTTTGGGTTCAACGCTGACCGGAGAGTTTGAGGATGTGAAGCTTCTTAACGAACTTCTTACTATAAAGAACAAGGAGACGGGATGGGATACGCCGATTCATGTGGATGCTGCGAGTGGCGGTTTTGTTGCTCCGTTTCTCTACCCTGATCTTCTATGGGATTTTCGCTTGCCGTTGGTGAAAAGTATCAATGTTAGCGGTCACAAGTACGGTCTTGTTTATCCCGGTATTGGTTGGGTTGTCTGGAGGAATCAAGATGACTTGCCGGATGATCTTGTTTTTCATATCAATTATCTTGGATCTGATCAGCCAACTTTCACATTGAATTTCTCAAAAGGTAATATACTCATAGATCAGTCCAGTTAAGCCAACTCAGTTGATTGCTGTGAAGGAACATCCGACTGTACGAGCGTGTGATATCCTTATTATTCACCTTTAAGAAGTGAAATTTCAGCCATTAGGCTATTAGACCCAAAAAATAAATATATTCATAGATCATTCTAGTGAGTAGTTTTTTTTGTCTGAATATTTCTTTGTACTTCTTTCGACAGGATCGAGTCAAATCATTGCTCAATACTATCAATTCATTCGACTTGGATTCGAGGTAATTATATTATCATTTTGATGCTGAATCTCAAGTATATGCCTGATGTTATAGGTAAAATATTTCAATTTTGTGCAATACATGTTTTCTTATACATACTGTTATGTTTCTTGCACTAAGGGCTACAAACATGTGATGCAAAATTGCTTGGCGAACACGAAAATTCTGAAAGAAGGAATTGAGAAGACTGGAAAGTTTAAGATTGTGTCCAAGGATGTCGGCGTGCCACTTGTCGCATTCTCCTTGAAAGACAGTAGCCGACACACTGTATTCGAAATAGCAGACCATTTGAGAAAATACGGGTGGATAGTTCCGGCCTACACAATGCCTGCGGATGCACAACACATCGCGGTCCTCCGAGTGGTGATCAGGGAGGATTTTAGCCGCAGTTTGGCTGAGAGACTTATTTCTGATATTTGCAAAGTAGTGACTCTCTTGGAGACACTTCCGAGTTCTATCTCCTCGAAAAGTGCTCATGTCGCGGTTATCGCGAGTGAGACGAACGAAGAGGTTAAGAAAGATATTACAGAGACTCAAACTGAGATTGCAAGTTATTGGAAGAAGCTTGCTAAAGCAAAGAGAGTTGGAACATGCTAGTGTTGTCAAATGTTTGTTGTGTTTTGTGAGCTACTTTGTTTGTGTCGTACAAATAAATTTAATGTGTGTAAGGATTGTTTCATTGTTACTTTATTTATCTATGTAGAGATATAACCATTGTCAATGTATCTCTAAACCATATGTCTATATGAATGAATGAATAAGACTTGGCTTGTTTCCTTAGCATACATAACCCTTATTACTAACAAACCAAAGGCTAAAAGGAGTCGAAGAGTTCTCGAAACGAACACAAAGGGGAAGGAAAGCAATCTTGGTTCAACCACAAGCAATCTTTGAGGACACATTGAGGAGAAAAGGGAATCGCCATAGTTCCTTTGTGGACAAGCTTTTTTTTATTTGGAAAGTTGTCTTGTAAGATTCTTTGAGTCAACAGAACATGTTTAGGGATAGTTTGAAAAGTACAAAGATACATAGACAAAATGGTTGTCCTTTTATCATTTCTAAGCAAAATATTCTGTTATACCATGCATTTTAAAAGGTAGTTGTGACGTTCAGTATATGTTTTGCTTTCTAAACATTCAAATAAGAGGAGTTTAGAAAACACATGTGATTGAAGTTGTGTAATATTAGCGCTACCATTCATGGGAGCTGGTTTCGAAAAAAAAAAAACATTGTTATTGTCCAAGAAGCAAAGAGTAAGTTGTTCAGGTGGAAGACTAGTCAACTTTTTTTTTGTGTGGCAAGAATCATTCTCTTGCCTATTCCGAATGTTGTTTTGATTAAGATATGATTGCAAACTTGCACCTGTTTGTTTTAAAATTCCACCGAGGAGCCTTTGAAAGGTTGGCGAAGCTCTGAATGAAACTGTGATTTCTCGAAAACATCCCGTTAAAAGGACATTGGTTGAGCTTCCGGGATCAACAAAAACCCTCTTGACATTCTAATGGAACACTTGTAAGATAATGACTTGAGATTGTCTTTATGAGGTAGGATGTTCATAGTTTACCGGTATGAAAAGCTAATGCTGAGTAAAGTGATTGTCATTGGTTTTGAAAGTGAATCGAAAATATGCATGACTTGACGATCATATATCTTTCGAGAAAAGTTTGACTCGCCATCCCCTCGAAAAACCTCCCGCGATAGTATTTAGACTATGGCAGATCTGCTCACGACCCCTTCTTTCTTCTGTGATAGTATCTCTTTCTTCAACTGATGACAGTCATATGTATGATGTCTTTTTACTTTATGGTACTTGCACCATTTGTGGGGCTCACTTCCCACTTTGGGGTTGAAGGCTCTGGGATAGCCATAGTATCTCATAGTATATTCTCCTTTATGGTGTTCAATAATGTATAACTTTTTAGAGGCCTTTTAGATAGCTTGAACACACCCATATCTCACTCTGGTAGTGTACTATGATTTCAACGATGATCGGAGGATTCAGACTCCCCATTGCTCCACTCATTTGCATCCCCAACTCTTTTTTCATGATTACTTTCCTCCCCTTTTACATATCATTTTGCCATTACCATATTTCCTTCCATCAAATCTGTCGGCTTCTAGAAAAGAGATTCATTGAAACATTCGACCTTAAGGTCATTTTGAAAAACTCCTATGAACATTTCTTGATTGGGATTTATAACCTTTATGGTAGCCACATTGAACCTTGCCAAGTATTCATGGAGAATCTTGGAAGGTTCATATACCAACACTAGGACGTCTCCTTCAACATTCCAGAAAAAATTTACACTTGAGTGATTCTATCGCGTAAATTATCTCCATCTCATTATTCGTGAAGGTAATATTTCTTAGGGTTTCTCTTACCATCAAAGGTTATCAAGGTGAAAGGGTTGATATTATCTGGGACAAGTGCATCCCAAATCTCGACAAAGAGAGGTTGAGGATCTAAGGACTCTTCATGTTCATCAACAATTGGTTATTGCTCTTGAAGGTTGCGAACATTTTCTTACAGAGTTTCATTTTGGGAATGCAACTCTTCCATAGCGGCCATCATCTTTGTTACGACATTCCAGTCGTTGTTGTTATTGTTACTATTGGAAGCAATATGTATCATTATAAAACACTAGTTGGATTATCTGTGGTGTATGTGAGAGTGTGGCCTATGTTAGTTTTAGTAGGACCCCACATCTAGTACCATATCTCATTGTGAAAAGTATTGTGAAAAGTATAATGTATGTGACCTTACTAGTAGTCGACCAGTAAAGTATTAATTTGAGTGTTTTATTAAATAGTTCGTCCCGTCTTCGTCTTTAGTGGTTGTATTTATAAATATACCTTTTGATACCATGCATTATGACTATGTGACCGTTTGAAACTCGTTACAATTGTTACATCGTCATGGGCATTATCCCATTTTCTCGATATTGACTACTTAACCATTTATCTTGACTCTCATGCATGACTAAAATGTGACTGAACTTTCTAATTCTGAGTCGAGTCAATCTCACCATATTTCCACACGATGATTATGTCTCAAAGTGAGCATTACCTCACATATCTCAGTTAGAGTCATCTCCAATGGTTCAACATGCTCTAGCCCCAATAGATCGATGTCGTTTAATGTAAAGTGGGATTGATCCCTTACGAACATGGAGGCCCAATGACCTTGGTTGTTATGGTAGTTTTAGCTCCTAAACTCGACGCCTCTTGCAAAATAAAGGAATTTAAGGAAAAGTGCCAAAAATAGGTTGAAAGCAAATGTTGGTCGAAAGGCGTGAGGCAGCTGAAGCAAGGAGTCGAAGAACTCACTAGGATTGAAGAGAAACCACAAGGGCTTCGACCGTTTTGCTGTTTGGTGATTTATTGAAGATTTGAAATTCAAAAATTTGGAGGGAACAGTTTCGTTTGCCAAATGCCTAAGAGGACACATGGCACCTTATGAGCAATAGATCCATGCATTGTGACAAGTGGCAAAAGGTGGTGATGTTGGAAGTTATTTGTAGTTATTTTTTTACTATTATAAATTGGGTGTCTTAGACATGAAATAGTGTGTTGTAATTTACCATTGTACAAATTAATCTTAGAATTACTCCAAGTATCAGAGCGTAGAGAAAGCGAGTATTACAGAGAATGTACGTGATGTAAACGCACCATCTTTTATCTTAATGAAATTTACTTTACTTGCTTTAAACTTTACAAAGTATTTTTATTTTATTTGCACCCCTCTTCCTTATTTTCTTTCTTTCTTCTTTCTCTATGTAATTCCTTTCTCTTCGTCCTTAATCTAATCTTTCCTCTCCAAACAAACTTATTTCTCTTCTTTATTAAAAGCTTTATCTTTTAATTTGTCTCGTAGTCGAACAAATGTTTCTTTAGATTCTTTTACCCCAATACTGTCGAAGTGTGAAACTTAGATAGATTTCCAAAATAAAGTACCTTTAGCACATGTCATAGGATCAATCTGATCGATCCTGTGAGTCACCAAAGTTAGATTTGAAAGATTAGCGGTTGTTTTCCGATTTCTAAGGGAAACAGGTAGCTAAGCCATTAATTTTATTAATTGCATTTTCTTATCTAAACGTTTGTAATCGTTGTTAGAATTGTTACATGAGTCAAAGTTGATTTAATTTACCAATCTAAGGTCAAACTGACCTCGTTGCTGGATTAACTTGCCCCCTTCCATAATGGTATGTTCGACTGATATAATTCGAGACTGACCTAAACTCGCTCATGCTATTTCGATTACTCACCAATAACATAACATGCTCTAGTCCTAAACGACCAAGGTCAATTGATATCAAATGAGTTTGAGTCATAATAGAAATATCAGTCTAGTATTTTATATTGAAATCGATAAATTCTTGTACCATTACTAAAGTTATGTGTGATATAATGAAGAAGAAAATAGTAAATTTAGTGGAAATCATCTGGACACCCTCTCTCATTTTCGGAGTCGACTTAAGAGATAAGGTGTCGCCTAAAAGAGTGTAGGATTGATAGATTGTGAATGGCTATTGAGTAACAATAATGGTGGTTGATAGTTGGTTTTTCTAAGCATCATGAAACAGAAAGACATGCAATGAAGAAATTAAGAGGCAATGAAGAAATTAAGAGTTGTGGGAACAATTATATTTGACTTGAATATTGAATATTATAATGTGGGAAGTTCAATTTGATATTGTAATTGTTGTTTAGGGAGTTAGGTAGATTCTTGCTAATAATTTTAAGGAGATTTAGTAGGTGTGGCAAATGTGCATGTCCATGTCTGCAAAAAGTTGCAAAATTTTATTTTATGTCATGTTTGCAAAAGTTCACAAAAAATGAATCAGGATAAACATGATAAAGTGTGGTTAAAACCTTGACTAATTCCGTACATGAATGCAACCAAAATAAACATGTTTGACGGATCAGACCTATTTTATCACTCATCATTTTTCTTATTTTTTAGCATGGACCCATTATTGTTAAAAAAAAATATTTTTAACTTTATTTTCTAAATTTTTTTTATCAAATCAAATAAGTTAAACACCATTTCATTTGTGCGTTAAGTCAGCTCAGTTGCTAGTTGTACAGAGACGTGAGTTCGAACTCGCAACATTTTATTTATTCATCTTTAAAAGGTGAATTTCAATTATTAGATTATTTAAAAAATATATATTTCATTTTTTCCACACTCATACTTCACTTAAGCTTTGTTTGGATTGATAAAATGGAATGAAATGGAGTTGAACGAAATGAAATGCAATGATATTTCATTATTTAGATTATTGAAAATGAAATTGAGCGGAGTTGAGTGATAAAATTTTATTACATTTCATCGTTTACCACTATACTCATTTTCTTCCTATTTGGACTGAATAAACAATTTATGTTTCATCCTAAAATTTGCAAATTATAAAATTATATCTTTATTCTTATTGGTTCCATTTCATTTTGTTTTTTCGACTCCATTCCACTATGTTTATTTGATGGTATACAAACATAGCCTTAATTAATTTCCTCTCTTTCGAAAAAACCAAACGGAGCATTTAGGTAAAATCACGATACTCAGTGCCTTTGCGGTGTTCCTTCCCTGCTTC